AATAATAATCTTATAGACCACAATATAAAATTACCTATTCAAATTCAAAAAATATATTTAAGTTGAAATATATATATATTGGATTATACCACTAACGTTCAATATACCTTTAGTAGATTCGCAGTAACAGAATTTTTCACTAGTTATATTTTAAGTGGATATTAGTATTCCAAATTAAAATTAATGAAATGAAAATAAATAATCATTGAAAATCGTATTATTATAAAAAAATCCCAAGAATGTTATAAAATGWTTGAAATAAAATACTATTATATTATTTTCAACCTCAGTTTTTAGTTGACATATTTTAGTAAAATATTTATATAATACTTAATTTAATATTGCACATTTTATTACTTTCAAATGTTATAGTTATATTATAACTATAGCTTGAAACTGAAAATATAATCGCAAATACAATATGAACATTTTTTTAAAAGTTATTTGTGTTTATTAATAATAAAATACTATTCCATATTTCCGTTTATTTAATAACCTGYACCATAAAAATGTAATTAAATCTTTAAATTATATTGATCTGGAATCCTACGAGTTTGTCTCCAAATAAATATACGAAATATACGTACGGCTCACTATACGGTATGACGTTTATTAGACTGAAAAAWATCATTTATATTTTACATTATAACATTAATGTTAAATTYATGACATTAGCGTACGTAATAATATTCCGTCGTTTCAAATACTRAAGAGTATAAGAGYAATAATGAGTTGCAGTGAACAGAAGTAGTATTACTCGACGATTACGTATTACGCTGCAGGTACCTACATTATAAATTTATTTCATCTACCTTCATCATAATATCGTCGCCGTCGTTCGATTTAAAATATAGTTTTATTTTAGTTTACGAGCATAAGTTGCGTGGGGTCATAAATCGTTGTACGTACGAGATTCATGATCGCACACGAGTTGAATACTATTTGATTTCCCACCACGGCACGCTCCTATACAGTTTGTTTTTGACATATTTTGTACCTACGCTCATACGGTTTTCAGTGACTCTCCAAGCTGACTCACTGGTGTGTTAAAGTCGTTTTCAAGAATTTYCGTATCTGGAGACACTGTTTGGCTGACGTTAGCCGGTTTTAACGAGATGTTTGAGAGTGAGTTTATTATTTATTTATTTTTAACAGTGATTTTATATATATATATA